ACTGGGACACCCCTGAGCCCCCAGGGAGCCCCAGAAGCGAATTGGATTTCCCCAGGTTATCACCCCGTATCATTTTATGAACTCCCTCGTGTATAAAATGTTTATAAATATTTGTGGATTAAGAGACACAGGTCTATTTTTAAGATTTAAGTTAAATAAGTTAATTAATGGCTGGCCTTTTTTGCCTAAACGTGCAATGAGATATATTATACCTTTAGTCTACGATGGCCTAGGTACTGCTTAGTCTGTGATGAAAACTTTGCTGCTTACCTACTGTTCTCAGAGAAAAAAAACTGTCGCAGACGTACAGGTTTGTTGCACAGGGACTATCGCAGCAAAGCTTTGTATTTGACCACTGGTAATCTGAATGTGTTGTATTGACTTGTCGAAGATAATCATGAAACAACATATTTTAAATGTAACTTGCCTTATAGATTAGACTACGACTATGTGGATATCATTTTTTTGTAAATAATGTTTTTTATAAATGTCTTTCCTCCATTCGCCCCGTCACCCATTTCACAAAATCTTGAATATGCAATTATTTACCATGCATAACGTTGCAACAAATAAATCCCCACGTCAGAACAAAGTTTATTAATTCTATACATAAGAACCACATCAAATACCTTGATTGAGTTGCGATTTAAATGTGATTTTTTTTTTTTCCTTGAAAATAAACTAAAAAACTGTAAACCACTACTTTTTCCCGAGTGAGCTTTGCTTGCACATTCGGGAGCACGAAGGGGAGCTGGGCAGAGGTATCAGGGCTGCCACGTCCCTGGCCCAAAATGTCCTCACTGCCTGCAGCCTGCCAGCCTGGGGACACGTGGGGACGTGTGGGGACCACGGGGCCCGTGGCTGTGGAGATGCACGGGGGCTGTGGGGACATGCGGGGACTGGGGCTGCGAGGGCCTGTGGGAGCTGAGGGGACCCATGGGGACATACATGGGTTCAGGGACGCGTGGGGGCCATGGGGACCTGTGGGGTCATGGAGATCCAAAGGGGCCATGGGGATCTGTGTGGGCTATAGGGACATGGAGGGTCCTGTAGAGGCCATAGGGACATGTGGGAGGCCATGGGGACATGTGGGGACATGGGGAGCCGTGGGGATCTGTGTGGTCTATAGGGACATGCAGGGTCCTATAGAGGCCATAGGGACACGTGGGAGGCCAGGGGGACATGTGGGGGCTGTGGGGACCTGTGGAGCCATGGGGATCTGTGTGGTCTATAGGGACATGCAGGGTCCTATAGAGGCCATAGGGACACGTGGGAGGCCACGGGGACATGTGGGGGCTATGGGGACCTGTGGCGGCTGTAGAGACATGGGGGGACCTGTGGGGTCCATGGAGATCCCCACAGGGGCAATGGGGACCTTTGTGAGCTTTAGGGGCTTGCGGGGACCTATGGAGACCATAGGGGCACATGGGGGCTATAGGAACATGTGGGAGGCCATGGGGACCTGTGACCCATGGGGGCTGTGCAGACCTGTGGCGTCCACGGGGATCCACAGGGACCATGGGGATCTGTGTGGGCCATAGGGGCATGTGGAGATCTATAGAGGCCATAGGGACATGTGGGAGGCCACGGGGACATGTGGGGGCTATGGGGACCTGTGGGGTCTATAGGGACACATGGGGACCTGTGAGAGCCATAGAGATCCACGGGGATCTATGTGGGCTATAGGGACATGCAGGGACCTATAGAGGCCATAGGGACACATGTGAGGCCACGCGGACACATGGGGACTACAGGGACACGTGGGGGCTATGGGGACGTTTGGGGGCTGCAGGGACATGCGAGGACCTGTGGGGGCCATGGGGACCAGCACAGGCTATAGGGACGTGCAGGGATGTATGGAGGCTATAGGGACCTGTGGGAGGCCGTGGGGACCCGCGGGGGCTGTAGGGACACGCAGAGCCCCGCAGAGGCGGGCGGGCTGTCGGACCC